TGGTCAAAAATTCCACAGGACATTATTAAAAGTCTAGTTGGTTCAATGAAGGAGAGATGTAAGCTTATAATTGAGAATAATGGGGAACGCATTCCCTATTAATTTTTTTTTAATAAAATCTCCTGCTTTTTGGCTTTCGAATAAATATTTTACCATGTGATTTGGCGCAGTCATTATGAAGTTATGTCGAAAAATATTTGTCCAAAGACTTTTGCACCAGACTGTACATGTATGGTTATGGTTACTAAAAATGTATGAATGCCATACATACATAAAAAGCCCGTACAATACATATTTAGCCAACCGTACAATACATGTTTGTAACACCCAAAAAGAATTAGGATTAATTGCTCACAAAAAAAATAAAAATAATAAATTTTTAAAAATAAAATGAACTTTATATGACACTTTTTTTATTTTCGGCATTAATATTATCAATCTGGGTTAAACAATAATCAGGTCGAGTGAATTCGATTCGAACTATGATCGGGTCGAGTTGAATTCAAGTTCTGTAATTATTAACTGATTGAGTTCGAATATGACTTAAACCCGATTCGACCCGACCCTTACGGAGCACTAAACGAGAATAACTTATAAATTTTTTTTTCAAATTTTTACTATGTATATTTTGATTTGTGAGTTAATGTTTGTATTTTATATTTAAAGGATAATTCAAATAATCGATAAGTTGCTATTAAAAATTTGCTGCGTCACCCCCGTAGATAAATACGGGAATGAAAGTTCAAATAGATTTATTAAAGATTTTTGGCCCTATGAAAAATATATGATCCACTTTACGTACAGTAAATGTTCATCGTGTAACGCTCATAATGATCGTTCATATTTTAAATATTAAATATACATAAAAATGAGCCCAATACAAATTATGACTTTAAGTTTTCGTGGATTTTGTATTATTTGCGTATAAATCATTTATTATTTGTACATAAATTATTTATAAAATATATATAAATTATATTATTTGTGCATAAATTATTTATATTAAATGTATTTATTAACATTAAATCACCTATCGTTAATTAATAATACAACATTACTATTTCTTTAAGCTGCTATATCTTTCTTTTTATTGTATCGTTGTTTTTTGACAGGAGATTTCACGAAATCTTCTTTTTCAATTTCATTATCATTGGATCTGGCATTTTTAGTCCGAGAAGATCTATGAAGTGCAACCTGCCTTGGCTTCAAATCACTTTTCCTAATATTATTATTAAAATTATTTAAACAACAGACGGACATTTGATTAATTGAAGAAACAACTTTCTTCGCAACATTTTTGGTTGAGTGGAATTCATTAGACTTGTTATTAAAGCCAGTAGGGCCACTTTCAGAAAGATTAAACACGGATTTCCATATCAAGTAATGGCGTATCATACCCTCCATTTGTTTCAGTATCTGAATTGACCGCTTTTTGTTTTACTTTTCTTGTTTCAGAAAGCATTTTTTCCCGTTTTTTTAAAAGTTCTTCAATTTGTTTATTAATATTTTGAAAATCGTCTTACATTTAAATAAAATTAATATATTAAAATATTGAAATTTAAAAATAAATATAAATTTGAACGAACTTGCAGAATTTTCAACAGGACTTTTATGATTATTTTGAGTAATAGTTGCGGGGCAAAACCCTAAACCCGTTTTGGCAAAAGTCGAAACTTTTCAGAAATTGTTTCGACAGTTTCGATGGGTTTCGACGGGTTTTAATGGGTTTCGATGGGTAACGAAAGTTTCGACGGTTTCGACGGTTTCGATAACAACTTTGCGAATTCTTAAAAAGGACGTGAATATATACTATTTCACTTAGACTATTGCATATATCATTATATTGGATGTTTGCTCCTTGAATAAAAATTAAGAACTTATCAAAATTTATAGTGTTGAGTTAAAAAATTCCAAATAATGAAATTTTTTTTTAATGCTTAACATGGGGGTGGGGGGGGGGGGGGGGGTGTAGCGGGAAAATAAAAAAAAATGTGTTTGATTTT